TTTTATTATTATTTAATCATTTACACCTGTACAGGATTAGTTTATTATATTGTTTTTTTATTATTTAATTATTTACACCTGTACAGGATTAGTTTATTATATTGTTTTTTTATTATTTAATTATTTACACCTGTACAGGATTAGTTTATTATATTACTTTATTATTTAATTATTTACACCTGTACAGGATTAGTTTATTATTATTTATTTTGTGTTTTCTTAATCTGGGACCAGTCCAAATATGAGAGCAGAAACCAAAGCTGGTCTGAGAATAAAAGCCTAACTCGCTGAAAGACAAACAGGTGAGATGTTTGAGTCAGCTGCTTCCTGTCTGTGTGCAGCACCTGTTGTAGTGGTGAGCAGGACCTGAACCAGGTGAGCCACAGTGATCAGGTGAAGGAGGTGGAGATGACCAGAATCTATAGACCTCCGTCCTGATTGGTCAAGGCTGTGAAGTGAGCTGTAGGACAACACACCATACACCTGCAGACACACAAACACACAGGCTCAGCTGGATACACTGTAAACTGGAGTGACACTGGATTAACTGGCTGTAACAAACTCAGTGGTTTAGCTGCACATAAACTGGTAAACTCTTGTAAAATTCAGTTTAAACTGGGCTGAAATGACCTGACACTGGTCACACATGATTTAAACTGGACTTACTGTGGTTTCCAGACTATAAATCACTTTTTATAGAGTTTGACTGGTCCTGTGTCTGTTCTGTTTTTTCCTTCTCATGATGCATTGTTTCATACAGACCGACATGAACCAAGGAATAAACATTACTGTCTGCACCTGAGACAGCTGCAGACCTCTGATAACTAAGGTTCATGTTGTTCCTCTAACGGTTAAAGGAAGAAAGTCTGCAGTGAATGAAATACGTGTAGAGACTGGTGAAAGGACGAGCTCAGTGATGGGCAGCACTAACATAAAAATTAGTTGCAATAACCCTAAAGCACTAACTTTAATATTTAGGTCCCCTAATGCTAAAGCACTAACACACTTAAAAACTGAATTCTGAAGCATTAAATCCCAGCCATGGAACAGTCCGAAGAGTCAACATGAGAATATTTTCTGTGTAGAATATTGTTTATATTCTTATATTAATTATTGTTAATAATGTTATATTAACTATT